AAAAAAAAAAAAAAATAGCAGAATTAAACAGAAATCATTCTTAATTACTTAACAGCAATTGAACAGAAATTATTCTTAATTACTTTGCTAAAATAAAACCCCAGAATGCCCTCTCTAATATTAGTCAAACTTCAGTAAAGACAACAGGTTTTGATGGCCACTAAAATTTTAACATATCATAATACCCTATATTTCTGGGTCTTTTTTCAGTGGGAAAAAAGGCCAAACTGGTGTTTTTGTACCACTGTTTTATAGATGGGTGCATAAGGAGGTTAAGTAACTTGCCAAAGGTCATATAGTTCATCAATTGCAGAAACGGGATTTGAATATGTGTCTAGGAGGTGCCAGGACCTCTTATTTTGACTCTGTGCCATACCATCTCAAAAGGAAAGTTGATCTAATATTAAAACTGATTATGGTTATTTTTCTGGAAAATACTAGACACCTGAGTGCCATGAGTTTTGGGTTCTGTTAACACTAAATTCCGTCCTTGGCTGCACTCAGAACATATACCGTGACAACCTGTGAAGCCTGCCAAGTCATGAAGTTCTTACAGAGGCCTAGTATTGAAGTAAGGGCAGCTGGAAGTGGAATTCCTGAGGGGTTGTTTTTTGTTTTTTGTTTTCATCTATATGCCTGTACTCCTTTGAAATGAAGGGGTTTTAATTAACCCCATGGTAGTTTTCCATTCTGCCAAATAATATATTTTAAAATTATGTTACCTTAAGTTTTATCACAATTACTTTTCATTTAGAATTTATATTATGACAAATTCTGATGGTAAAATTATATCATCTCTATATCTATAAGTATATCTGAACATTGTAGAACACAGCTTTTTAAGTTATTATCATCATCAACATTGAACTTTTATTAGGTACTGTACTAGTTGGCAGAGATTAAAAATTAAAAAGTAAAATATCTTCTTGAAAATGGAACAAAGACCACAAATACTAAACATCAAATTAATAATAGAAAAAATCATTACCTCAAGGGTTAAAAGGAATGACCAATAAGTATCTAGATAGATGGAGAATAACTCAAAGAAGGAGGAGGCTTGAATTAAGTCTTGAAGAAAGGTACATGTGGAAGGATAATAATAAGATAGTTGGGGGGAGGTAAACAATGTTGGATTTTTAGACTCATTACTATGGAAAAATCAACGAAATTTACTTGATATGTAGATTAAAATATATATAAAGAGATTTAAGCATGATTAATTTGGTGGCAATATGGTACTATAATTTGGAAGAGGATGATTCTGAAGGCTGTTTGTTTCCACAGTTCCTATTCAATATGAATCTGTGTAGAAAGTGAGGGGCTAATGAAGCGAGAATTATAAGGATTTGTTCATTGGCTTCATGTGAGCACACAAGTCAGTAGAGAAGTCAAAAATCAATCAGTCAATTTTTAGCAAAATCAATTATAAATTCCATCTAATTAAGTATGGCCCGTGTATTTAATCACCAAAAGCCTGTTAATGCTTTTTAAAAAGAGAGCATCTACAGTTTATTGAACAAAACAAATATATGTCTTGATTTATCCTAAAGCTTCATTTTGAGCATACAATGTGTTCTTCCAACCTCAGTTTGTTTTAATAAAAAGATCAAACCTAGCTAAATGGGTTTTTTAAAGATTAAAACTAAATGTTAGATCTCTAAATAGTAAGTCAACATTTAAGAAAAGTTAATATTTAATAGGGTACAACATACACCAGCAACAGTAATATGTTCATTTTATTTCTGAGAAAAAATGCACTACAACTTAGGTAAGAACCTTTCCTTTCCTGCTACATTCACTAAAAAAAAAAAAAAATAGCAGAATTAAACAGAAATCATTCTTAATTACTTAACAGCAATTGAACAGAAATTATTCTTAATTACTTTGCTAAAA